TGGACAGGTGGACCAGGACACCAATAGACAGGTGGACCAGGACACCAATAGACAGGTGGATCAGGACACCTGAGGACAGGTGGACCAGGACACCTGAGGACAGGTGGACCAGGACAACAGTGGACAGCTGGACCAGGACACCAATGGAGCGGTGCTGAAGTCTCAGAGTTACAGACATCACCTGGTTCTTTCAAAGTGTTGGACAACATATAAAGTTCAGGTGCCGTCCTTTTTGTCTCTCATGAGGTGTGTTTGTGTGTAAACGTCCTCAGGACGCTCGTTGATGCCAGGTGAGTCGGGTCTTTCAGGTATTTCAGGTGGATCTACCAACGTGTACTGTACCGAGCCACAGATTGGGAGGAGTCGGGGTTTCACTTTCGAAGCTGAGCACGTCGCTTCTTTTCGACTCTTGGATCATTCCTTTCCAGACGGAGGCGGAAAAACAGGTCGATGGAAGAAAAACAAAAACAACTTTTGTTTTGGGACTAAATCTGAATAAAGTTTTTAATCACCTCGTCCCGGCGGGGGATCTGCTCCTCCGTTTAACAATAAACTTCCTTCACAGCAGATTAAACCTTAATGAGCTTTGTGTCCGTCATAACTATCGTTTAATTAACACGTCGTTAACGGCAGAACCTGCCAGGAGCGTCAACACGAACCAAACTCCAGGTCTGACTTGAAGAAACGGATTCTCACTGAAAGTTTGATTCAAAATAAAAGATTAAAAGTTTTTATGTATAAAAAGATTTAAGCTGTTTATTTATGATGTTATTTTAAAAAATATTTGACAAAGGTTCCTCTTCGGCTGTGATGAAGAGTCTAAACGGAGTCCTCCATGGAGCAAACCACCAGCTACCTTTAGCTTTCAGCTAGCCTTTTGATACGTGTCGTTAGCTAGCTCTTAGCATTCTGAAGATTTTTATTTTGTCTACTTTTAACTGAGCTGACTTTTTGATACTTTTTCTTTTAGTAATCTGCTACTTTCAGCTATCTTGTTACAACTTTTAGCTAGTTTCCTTTTAGCATTGCACTGTTTTTAGCCAGCCTTTTGCTACTCTGCACTACACTTATTTTACTTTAAGCTAGTCTGAGCTAGCCTTTTGCTACTTCTGTAACTAGCTTAAAAATAAATTCAGCTTTGAGTTAGTTTTTGTTGACATTAGCTTTTAGCTACCTTCTAGTGTGTTGCTACTTTGTCTCTTTAGTGTTTTATTGTTTTTGGCCTCATCATGTTTTTGGTACTTATACCTTATAGCTAACTTTTTGCTACTTTTGGCTTCTAGTGTTCATCTACTTTACCTAGTTTTTATCTTCTTTTAGCTTTAAGCTAGCTTCTAGCTTTCTGCTATGCTTTTCTTTAAGTTTTCTGCTACTATTAGTTTTCAGAAAGCCTTTAACTTCTCCAAGCTAGCATTTTGCTATTTTAGCTTTGAGCTAGTTCTTTGCAGCTACTATTTTAGTTGGCTTTTAGCTAACCTTTGGCTACTTTTACCCAACTTTTGTTACTTTTCCTTTTGCTATTCAACCTTTGGTTTTTAGTCAGCCATTTACTTGTGAGAGCTAACCTTCAGCTACCTTTTTGCCTTTAGCTAGCTTGTTGCTACATTTAGCTGCAAGCTAAGATTTAGCTTTGAGCTAGCATTTTGCTAATGTTGACATTTATCTAGTGTTCTGCATTTTAACTTTTTCAGCAGCTGTTCAGCACTCAGTGTTCACACCATATTTAAAGAAAAGGTGGTTTCTCTCATTTTTATTTATTTATTTATTTATTTGTTTGTTTATTTATTTATGTCTTCCAACATGGGCTGGTGTTTTTTGTTGGGAGGTATTTTATTGTTGATTGTTTTGGTGGGAGGACAATGAGAAGTGAATGTTTCCATTTATTTTCCCGTGATTAATCTCCAGAAACGTTTTCTCAAAGAATTTTCTGCATCGTCTTAGTTTCTGGTAGCTGACGTCCGAGAGGCAAATCAACACCGTATTTATTTTGTTTAGTCATTTTATTTTAGTATTCATAGTTAATGCAATAAAATACCCTGAATGAAAAACTTTAGTGAAAAAATAAAACTAATTTTAAATAAAAATACCAGTTTGATGACAAAGTAGCACAACAAGTCAGGAAGTGGATTACGTCCTGGTCCGGTACTTTCCGTGACTCACCCACGGACCCTTTGGCGGCGATGGCCACGGTCTCCAGGAGGACCTGGACGATGCCGGCTCTGAGCCGCGGCGTGCTCTTGCTGTGGGCGTCCAGGTGGTTCAGAACCTGCTGGATGACGTGGTGCGAGTGCTGGGCCTGTGCAAAACACACGAATTAGAAGAAATTTCATTTGACAAAAAAGAATGTGCTGCAGAAAAACAAACAAAAACAAAAGGTCTTTTTCACATTTAAATAAATAAAGGGGTTTTAGTGATTTATTGTTTATTTATTGTACAGCTAGCCTTTTGCTACTTCTGGCTTTTAGTCTTCAGCTACTTTACCTAGTTTTTAATCTTCTTTTAGCTTTACGCTAACTTCTAGTCTGCTGCATTCCTTAAAGTTTTTGGCTACTGTTAGTTTCTAGCCTTTTACTTCTCTGAGCTAAACCTTTTACTATTTTAGCTTTGAGCTAGCTCTTTGCTGCTATTGTGTTATTAGCTAGCTTTTAGTGGTCAGCTACTTTTAGCTAGCCTTTTGCAACTTTTGCCTAACTTTTAGTGTTTTGTTACTTTTCCTTTTGCTCTTCTACCTTTCGTTTTTAGTCAGCCATTTAATTGCCAGAGTTAATTTTTAGCTACCTTTTTGCCTTTAGCTTACCTGTTGCTACATTTAGCTTTAAGCTATAATTTGGCTTGGAGCTAGCCAAAATGGAAAAGGAGGAGGCTGCATGATCCTTCTCATTTCTGCTTAATGAAGCACGGCGGTGGGAGTGTAATTATTTGACAGATGCTTTAGCTATAAAAACAGAACATACTTTAGACTGTTCAGCTCTCTTCAAGTTGTTTACGCTGCAATGCATTCTGGGTAAATGACGTGGACAGGTGGCTCCGGTGCGAGCTCCGTCCAGCTCGAAGGTTAATTTTGTACCGTGTCCGACGTTCAGCCCGTTAATTTGAACCGGACCACGTTGACAGAGGAGAACGTAGAACCGAGTCGGGCTGCTGCTGACGATGATGAAGACTGAGCGATGAAGAGTCAGACAGAAGAGCTGCTGATGAGAGACGATGCTGCTCTGCTGCTCACGAACATCGGGATCGAAACATGCTCACCGGTAGATTAATTATGTTATATAATCTTGACTTGAAGAAACTTTAGGCACAGCTTAGGTAAAAGCTTTAGCCTTTTAGCTTTCGCCTTAGCTCCAGGGCTAACGTACAAAACAGCAGAAGATGATCACATTTGATGGTCTGGACCCACACATCGTTCATAACGGCATTAGGACAAACACAAATTACAACTTTATTGTCAAACTTTAGCTTCGACTCCGTTTGTGTTGGTCTCCGCTACAACCGAAGTTCGTCATCCACCCAGAATGTGTTGCTCCGGTAAAGTAATGTTGACGTCCTTAAGTAAAACATGTAATAAACGTATACAATTTTTTTTAAAGTAATGAAGCATTTTTTGAGTCACCAACAACTTTTATTAGAATAAAGAAATATATCAAGGCTAATGTGACAGTCGTCTGAGATTTCTTTAAAAAACTAATTCTGTCGTCACTGTACCAAAGTGCTTATAAAGCAAATGTTACAAATATTTTATATATATATATATAAAAATATTCCAGAAAACACCACTTTCACCTCAAGATTTTTATATTTATTAGAGCCCGCCTGATATGGAAATTTTGGCTCTCGCTGATACTAATACGTCCCAAAATGTTGGCCTTACCGATACATCGGCCACGCTCTAACGTTTATATCCGTAAACAACTGTTTTGCCGTTCTTGTTTGCTCTCGGTTGTTTTAAATGAAGTTGTGTAGTTGGACAAAGTTAAGCTGACAGTTGATCATTTCATTTCAAGAGGAAAATAATGAAATGATCATTTCATCAACGTGGCAGTAGTTCACTTTTGACCCAAACTCTTTTCTGAATTTTACATCGGCCTGAATTTCTTGTGATGTGCGGCTGCTGCGAGTACCGTACGTTTAACTCTAAAAACTGGTCGTAGAGTTGTAATCAAGGCCCCGCAGGGCGGTTTTAGACAGAAAAGGACAGAACTAGTGTCCTTTTGTCTCCGTTCTTTGTCGTGTTGTGATTAAAACCCGACACTTTACACGGTCGTCTCCCGCTGCGAGCTTCAAATCAATGCGTTTCTTGCGTCCTTTGATTGATTTCCTGCTGTGCGGCTGCTGGAGTAATGGCACAAGGACATGATTTTAGAAACCAAACATCGACGGCAGATCACTTGTACGGTTGCTCGCTCAGAGCCGTCTCTGCTTGGGGATGGATTTTATCTTTCTAAAAGGCCGTTAATGCTGCTGTTTCCCCTCCGATAGCAGAACGCCTGATGGGTCGCTGCGCAGGATGAAACTGCGTTTCGCTTGTTTTGTGTTAGATCAAACACTTGATGGATTCAAACGTCCCCGACGCCTCAGAGATAAAACTCTTCAGGGACAACAACCAACCCCTCCTGCCAGACGGACACTTTAAAGACCCGGGCTGAGGAAAAGGGTCAAACTGATTTCCTGGTGCCAACGTGTGTAAACTCAAACAAAGGCAACGATGGAACAGTGACAGGCTGGTGTTGGGCGGTACACGAACTTTATCACTAGACGTCCTGATGCTGCTCAGTAACAATTCCAGGACATCCTTATAAAAGAGAATGATGATCTCAATGGATTTCTTCCTGGTAAAATAAAGTAATAAAAAAATTAAAAATCCAGGTAGATGAATCTAACCAGGTGGAGTCAGGTCCTCTGGATGATTCTTCTTGTAGAAACGTTTCTTCTTTTATCCAAAGGACTTCTTCAGTCTGAGGAGCTGCAACAAACTCAGTCTTATAAATAGCACCTTCTCATGGTGGATCAACCAGTAGGTCTGTCATGATAACAAATTTTGCTGGGCGATTAATTGTCTCAGAAATTATTGCGATAAGCGATTATAATGTTTGAAATTTGACAATAATTAGTAATAATTAGTAATTATTGTCAAATTTAAGAAGAAAAGTTGGCTACTTTTTGAGTTTAGTACATTTTTGACCACTGGATGGCAGTATAAGACTGAACCGAAGGATGGATAGTGAGGGCGCGAGCAGCGTGTCTCTTTCTAAGAAAAATGGGAGGGAGGCCTCTTGACGTGACATGGGCTGTCTCTCTTCGCTTCTCAAAATGGCGGAAGCTCGATGTAAATAATCGTATTTTAATTGATGCCATCATCAAAGAGCGAATCGTTCGCTCGATGACCACTTCATTCTGCTTCCTGTCGTATTCTGGGTCAGAGCTTGTGTAGAACTCCGTGTTTTAACTTTGTGTTTTTTAATAATGTGAAGAAGCTCCAAATTATTGTCATGTTAATCACTGGTCACATCAGCCCTCACTGACACCCAGTATCGATTCTTTAATCCAAACGCTCCTGGCTCCTTCTCTCCTGACCACCTGAGAATCGAGGTTTTACTCTGAAGGAACTCCTCCAGAACCTCCAACAGTTCAGTTAACATCTCGAACGTGTCGTACCTGGATGGAGTACATGGTGATCCTGAAGCAAGAAACTGCAAACTCGTTGGGGTCCCACAGATGGTGGTTGTCCAGGTGGCTGCAGGACAAAAAACACGTTTCAGTAAAACCAGATATGAGATTTTATTCAGCTTTAAAACAAATCAGCAGCTGGTTGATCTTAGAAAGCCGACACAGTTCACGTGAACAGAGTCTCGGCTCCAGTCCCGTCTCTTTAGTGGAAAACGTTTCAGACCAACGTGATGAAAAAGCCAAGTTTATCTGTACAGGTCAGTAGAAACAGGAGGTCGACCAAAGCACCAGAGTTCAAACAGCAGAAAAATAAAAAGAAGCTGAAATAAACAACTAAACCATCGTTTCTTGGGAAATAAGAAAAACTGCGACTTCTGATGCAGCTCAACTAATTTTACAGGAGAAAGTTTAAAGATAAAAAAGTGAGGACTATAAATAGTTCCTGCAGGGGAGGCGAGCAGTAAAGCTGAAGAAGTGTGCGTCACGGGGGAAACAGAAGGAAGAAGACCGGCTCCACGAGGAGCTGCAGAAGGTCAGAGGTTTAAAAAAAGAAGTGGCGGTGGGCGTCGGAGGCGACAGGAAGCTCATCGATGGATTCGTTTGTCCCCGTGCGAGCTGACCCGCTGCTGCACGGTAAACTAATCTTTGTGAAGAACCTGCTTCGTGTCTGCAGACGCACAAACACGCAGGCGGGATGTCGGATCATTCATCTCCCACTGAGAGCAGGAACAGTTCTGCCTGCAGCTCAGAGAAACCACAGATCTGGTGTTCAACTCCCAGCGTAGCTGAAAGGTCAAAGGTCGTTCCGTTTACCGTGACTCCAATTCTACGGTTTTAAAACACCAGAATCCACTCAGGTCTTTGGCTCCGCCCATCTCCATCTTCACCTCCTGGACGACCCCGAGGTGTTCTCAGACCAGTCAGGATGTATAATCCCAGAGTCTGCCCTGGGGTCTCCCCAGTGGGAGGAGTCCAAATCAGAGGACCACCTCAACGGACTGCTTTTGATGCAGAGGAGCAGCGGCTCTGCTCCGAGCTCCTCAGCCTGTCTCTGAGGCTTCTTCACCACGGCCGACCGAAACAACGGCCCCATTACTGAGGACGAGGCCCTCACCCGTCGACTCATCTCCTTCTAGGTCCGACCATCACTCAGGAACAAGACGCCCAGATGTGACTCCACCCTGGCGGGATCAGACCCATTGACACGGTTTTACAGCGGCTGCACGTTCAAGCGCCGCGAGACGACGACAACGAGACGTTTCTCAACTCGAGGTGCCCGTCAGAATAGTTCTCAGGTACATCGAGTCCAACCCGTTTAAACTCTGAATGATGTGACGTCTGAACTGTAGAGCTCCAAACAGGGCTTGGTCTCGTTCAGACCAGCAAGCAGTAGGACATGTCCCCCGTAGGACATGTCCCCGTCACTGAGACATTTGAACAGTGAATGTAATTTTCCATTAGTGTTTTTCTGGACTGCACCTTTGTATCTAGACAACACACTCGTTTACCTCCACACACTCACTCATACGCTGATGGGACACACATCAGAGGGGTTCAGTGTCTTGCCCATGGACACTTCGACATGTGACTGATGGTGGAATCAAACCCCCGACTCTCCCATTGGAGGACGACCGCTCTAACCACTCAGCCACAGCTTCCCCTGTGCCCATTAAGTAAACCTTAATGGTTTTGGTGGAAGATATAGAAGTGGGGAGGAGCTACACTGAAAACAGCTGTTTTGGTTTTCTTGTTGCCATACTGTGGCGGCCATCTTGGATTTTGACATGGCAACCCGGTTTTTGATGGTGACCTACAAACAGCCAAACAGCAAAATGGAAGTGGTTACGTCACAGATTTTTCACGTTATCGTGCGCAACGTGCACGGACAGACAGTTTTCTTCCTCTTCGCTCCGTGACGGAACAAAAAAGTGTTTTTTATTTTAAATAAAATTCAACTATTGAGCCGAGGAGCTTGAAGCCTGCCGGCGGTAAAAACCCAGACTGAGGTCCGAGGCCGGTTCAGCTGTGGCTGCAGAGATGACGCGTGTGAGGACGTGTCCAACTCAGCGCAGCTGGAGGCTGATTGGTCCATCACGATGCTGGGTCGGGCTCGTTAATCAGAACATCACCGACACACGACCAGGAGGAACTTCTGTTATTTACAGCAGAAAGTGGGAGAAACGTTGGCGACATGTGGAAGGACTGACATCGCAAGCAGTTTTACAGGAAGTACTGGTTTGGTATCGACGAGTTCTGGTCATGCAGCAACCCGACCTCCATTCAGACCCTCCAGAGGGAACTCCAACGTGAATGGTTGAATTAAGAACCATGTTCAGAGCAGGACTTTAAGACCGAACCATAAAAACCAGGTTTTACCAACGAGGGCTCTAAAGACTGAAATGACGTCCGTTCAAACCCCCAACGTCCTCCTTCTCCTCCCCGTCAACCCTGATCCTGCCTTTTGATGGTCTGAAGACGCTCCCCCGTCCTGCTGCTGCTGTCTGCAGGACAGGAACTGGTTTCTCCCTCAGACATGCAGAAACTGTTTCACAGACAAGATCTGAAGACTGGGCCGCTGCAAGGTCCGGCTGCATTCATGGCGTCGGTTAAACGTCCCGTTCCACCACGCAGCGACACCGAAGCCTGAAGGTGCAGCAGAGACGAGTTCATTATGAAAACCTGCGGTGACGAAGGGTCCACATGAAGATCCTTCTCCGAGGATTCTGTGCAACTGGACTCGGAACTAAAGACGGGACAAAAACCTGCGAGTGTTCTGCAACAAGTAGAACATCAAGGAGCCGATGTTTGCCGTGATGGCAGCTTCTCAAAGAGTCCAAAATATGAACGGTTCTGTTGGAACCGTTTTAAGTCCAACCAGTGTCACAGAGTCATCCAACCAACGGTTGTCCTGTAACCGTCCATAAGAAGACCACTGGACCGGAGAGCACGTATGTTCGTTACGCTTCAGGGTTTGAGTTGATTTAGAGCTGACTGGTCCCTGTAGAACCAAACCAGGAGCTCTGCCAGGACCGTCCCTGCAGTCCGATCCTGCTTGAGGTCTTCATGGACAGGACCTGGAGAGACATGATGAGGAAAGAGTCTGGTTTTGGAACCTCAGGTCTCGTCTCTGCTTTATGCAGATGATGTGGTTCTGTTGGTGTCAGTCTGCACGGTGACACCAACAGAACTGTTGGACGGTTTCTTCTGCATGGACCCAGATTTTAATCTGAATCCACAAATTTTCAACCATGTTGAGGTTAGAGCTTAACGTCAGCTTCCTGCGAGTGTGTGATTTACTTTCTGCGAGTGTGTGATTTACTTTCTGCGAGTGTGTGATTTACTTTCTGCGAGTGTGTGATTTACTT